CATAGACCCTAGCCCGTTGCAGGATGGTGAGCTGCCGATTATGCAGGACCCTGGTCAATCGATGTTTGTTGATGGTAGCGGCCTTGATGCGATGAGCACAGGTTTGAAGCTCGAAGCTAGAGTAAGAGGCAACAATACCCAAATACTGCATACTATGAACCCGAGGTAACCTTATTGACCTGTGCGGTTCACCAACCTCAATAAGCCTTCCCTGCTCTGTGCGGTGGGTGTGCTTGCGCAGCCAACGAGTCGCTGCGCTTCCTCTCAGCTTAATCACCAGCTGTGATTTCCCAGGATGCACTACCATCCCGAACTCTTTGAAAACCTGAAAGGTGACCTGGATGCTATGCATAAGGAAGCGCAGGTCCTCTACCGAATCGATAGTCCATGCAACATGGCTATCATCGGCGAAAAGAGTGAGCGCCGTCGCGGCCCAAGCAGAGTCCGTACGCCGCGCGATTTCATCGAAAATGATGCATGTGAAGAGAGCATACAGGTATGGGCTCAAAACACAGCCTTGTCTAATTCCGATGCGCATGTTAAAGGACTGGCTATATCCCTTATGGCGGACTCTGTATAGGCAGCGCTCATGCAGCTGCAATACAGCCTGCTGCAACGGTTCTGGCACTCCCGCGTGGCAAAGCGCGCGCTGCAAAGCTTCCCTAGGAATACTATCAAACGCTCTGCTGAGGTCTATGCTTAACATAGCTCCCCCCTGACAGCTGGGTGGCTTCTGGCCTGCACGCCTAGCATGAACCGACACCACTGAGGCCTGAAGTCGCTCACGCACAGCACGGCAGTGCCGAGAGACGCGACCTATCGCCTCATCGATCGCTCGTTGCGGAGTATATGCATACTGCGGCTTGGACTGCAGAAATTCCAGTGTGTGTTCCTGAATCTTAGCTCTGATGGCATGCGCCAGCACCTTAGAGCTAGCATCTTGAAGTCCGAGGGGCCGAAGATCTGCAGGACGTCTGCTAGTCTTGTTGGGTTTAGGCAGCAAAGCGAGAGTACAATTGCTGGCCTCGGGTGGGTAGTTAGCAGTGCCATCCTCCCCGGGATTGAGGCGAGGCGTTAGGAATGCAGCATACTCCGCCGGGCAGAGCAGCCAAATTTCCGTAGGCACACTGCTAGGTGGAACCGCCTTTCCCCCTTTGAGCATTCCAATGGCCTCCAGAACATCATCCTCACTAACAGCGTCAACCGGAGCCTTGGGTAAATCGAATGGCACGTCCCTGCTAAAGACCTTCTGGTAGTAAGCAAAGATTTCCTCAAACTCCGCTTTGGGTCCTAGCAGTTCCCCCGCCGGGCCTTTGATGCGGACCTGCTCGCGTCTACGCTTGGGTGCAAGCAAGTTCAGAACACGATAGACACCGCCTATATCATGTCGTTCGGCAGCCTGCTCCGCTTCCCTTATCCTAGCCTCAAACCAGTCCCGCCTAGCCGCTCTACTAGCCTGCCTAAGTTTCCTACTGGCTTGCTTGAACGCCATTGTGCGCTGAAGCGCGGCCATGGCCGAGCGAATACCAACCGCGGGCGGTGCCTGTTGGATGGCATCCTGTCGTGCCCAGAGCTCAGCAACCGCGCCTACAACACTCTGGCTCATACTGGGCTTAGTGATGGGAATGTAACCAGTCCGGGGATAGAGATGCGAGCAGAATGCCAGGACTTGCTTGTTGATACTAGCAACCGTAGCGTCAGATCCCGCCTGTCTAAGAACCTCAGCCGTTGCAACACGAAGTCTTTGGGCACGCTCGTCCATCTGTTGTACGGAGCCACGCAGGCACTTCAAAGAAAAGCTCAAAGGCTCACTACGCCGCTTGCCAAAGACCCAGCCTGCGCACCATGGAATGGACGCAACAACTGCGTGGTGCTTGGGCCCCCGCCTCCATGAGGCAAAGTCAAATGCAACAGGTCGGGCCAGTCTGGCTCGGGCGTCAGCAGTGGGCCGTCGCATCGCAAGAAAGTCAATCTGGCTTCTTACATCGCCGTTTTCGAACGTAGTGCAGACCCTAGGACTAGAGCTGGACCAGGTGTTGAGAAGGACCATGTCGTTACTTTGTATAAGCGCTTCAAATTCAGCATCCCTAGCTTGCCCCCTTTTCAGAACTCCCCTGCCTATGTGTCCAGGTAGAGGAGCGCAACGCGTGTTAAAGTCTGCGCCCAAAATCACTAAGTTCCTTCGAGGCAGACTCTGCAGCAGCGAGCTCAGCTTGTTCCAGAATAGGGTCCGGCTCTCTGTCGTTTGCTCAGCTTTGCCAGGCTGGAAAACCCACTGGTAGCCTGCAATGATGTCAATCACCTCCCGTTCTCCCTGACAACGCACATGTAGCAGGCGGCCCGGCAGGCAAGCGTTAAAGCTGATCCTCGACGGCTTGGCAACCCTCTCCGAAACAAGAATACAGACTCCGCTAAAGCGTTGTTGGGGGTCAGCCGTGCAGTATAGCGTCCATCCCGGCAGAGACCAGGTGTTGTCGGTTCTGCCCAGACCCCAATGGGTTTCTTGCAAAAGCACTATGTCGTCCTGACATCTGTGTATAAGCCATTGCTGTATATGGTCGTATACTTCTGAAGTAACCCCGCCTGTGTTGAAGCTGCGCACTCGCAGGCGCCGTCTGATGCCTCCGCAAGCTGTGGTCCTGATGGTGCCTGTAAAATTTGTCGTGGAGTCCAAGGTGGTCCTGGAGACATTCACACCCAGCTCACCAGCGGAAAACCATCTTCCCCTGTACATCGTTCCGCCCTTAGCCTCTGCTCGTCGCCTCGCGCGACGAAATGCACGTTTGCGTGTCTCGCTATATGGAGTAGCATTGCTAGCTTGTCCCCCATTGTTCTTCGCCACCACTGATGTGATGACTCCCGGGTCCAGTGTGGAATGAGACCCAACCCTCGGGTTTACTGAGCCATTGTTATCAGAATAAAGCCCATCCATCTTGCTCAGCCGCCGGAATTGGGACCGGCGCAGCCAGAAAAAGCTCAAGCGGGTGATATCAGAAGCGTAAACGCACACGATCAGCAACGCCCAGTAAAGACAGCGCAAAGAAACCATGTTCGCGGGACTCCTACCCTGTTGCAGAGCTCCAGCCGAAACCCTTAG